TAAGAGCATTTGATGAAGTAATAAAAACTCGATCAACAGAAGCCAAAATTAAATAAAATGGACTTAAAGTATTGAATAAAGAAACGGTATAAATACGTAGACGACAGACAATTAGGTTATATATACTAACATCAATGCTATATCCAACGCTTAGTGTTAAAGCTAATAATGAAGAATAAATGTATAGAAAATTAGCCATATTATATGCAATAAAATAGATTGAGCATGGATTTTTTCGTAAAGCTTTTTCAGTAAATATAATTAAATTTAATATGCAACCGATCGTACCGAAAAGCATTAAAATCGGACAAGCAAATTGATATAAATATTTTTGTGTTGCCTTCATTACAGCGATTGTATCGCTTGCTGAAGATGCTGATGACATATGAATAATGAATATCTGAAAACGACAAGATGCAATATTATTCACCGTATCTGCTATGAAACAAATTTCACAACTTGTATTAAGTTCTTTATAAAATCTCAAGAAAATGAAGAATAACGCATGATTTATTTTTGACAAGAAATTTATAAGAAAATGATGTTTTAATTTCTTCAACAAACTGTTTCTATTTTTGATAATATTAAAAACAAACAAAAAAAAACAGCGTTATTAATTAGTAACGCAAATAGCATGACAAATGAAGGTAAACATAATAGAATGTGACATCGAAAATGAATTTAGTTTAAGAAAACTGTATAATAAAAATGTGATGCTTGTCATTCACTAAAAATCAGTTTTATTTATATGTAATTAAACTTTATAAAAGATCAATTTCACATTAGAAATAACATTCATTGTGTTATTGCAGCTTCTTGTCTGGTTTTTTGTTTGAAAATAAATGTACTTAGCCTATTAACAAGTAACGCACTGAGCAGTTGGTAACTCGCTCAGCAAGAATTTTTAAAAAGTTTTTTAAGTTTCAAGGTTAATGAACCAAACCCTTGCTTAAACGATTTTTGAACAACTTAGCACAAATACCATAGTGAAACTAATTTATTTCTGTAGAAAACAAAAATACTTTCGTTATAAGTATATGATAAACACACTTTCATAAAAAAAATCTACTTTTCGTCTGAAATTATATTCAAAAATTCACTGTCCAACACTATGTCGATTAGCTGTATCCACGGCATTCAATAACCACCTTACGTACAGTAGCTACATGATTTAGCTTCTATGTATTTCAAACAGACCTTGTGGATTGATGTGTGTAGGTGTTTGTCTTCTCGTCACTCACGTCAAAGCTGCAAACCGACACACATTCACACCCATAATGTAGAAAAATTATTGATTCGAACACGATAAATGCATAATAAAGAAAATGATGAAAATTTTCTCAAAATGTTTTGAAATCTATTACATAAGATTAGCTATCTAATAGCCGAAGTATATTAACTAGACGCACACACATACTTACACTGTTTATTTAAACCAAAAGACAACTATATATATATATATATACGGAGATGAACAAGAAATCGCAAGCAGAGACGTTCAAGAGTTAGAAAAAAAAAATAACTCTCTAGCAAAGAAGGAAAAAGGAAAAAAATTTTCTTAAGGTTGGAAAATAAAACTAACGATCGCATGTGGAAGCCAGCATCAAAAATAAAACTAGTGGAAGGACACAAAAGAAAAGGATATTTTACACAAAATTCGCAGAAAAAGTAATATCTGAATGAAGAAACTTGTACAGTACCTCAATCAGACGAAACGGTCCGTAGTATACGGCAATAAATGGATAAAAACCGGCATCTTTACTACATTCCGTAGAATTTCATTTAAGAAGATCGGTTTACGGTATACTTACTTATAAATTGTAAGTATCACTGATAAAATGCTTTTGTGAAGCATGATTATCGATGAATGTTGAAGTCGAGGGGGAAACAGCGAACTATAAGACTTCAGAACAGAAGTCTCGGTTGTTTTTCTCTTGATTGAAACATACGATGAAACAATTGCTCCCATCTTTCCGGCTTGTTTCGGAAATCGCTGCAACGATGCCGATGCACTTTTAACCTAGTAACAGAAATTTTAATGCCAGAAGTTGCTTAGAAAATTTTCCGATATGCTGAATTCTGGTGTCATAACGATCTGTCACTAAGCTGATGAGGTTTTCCGCTTAGGTTCTCAAAATAATTACCGTAGCTCAATTGTGTTTAATATTTAACTTCTGTAGGGATTGCACTGAAAGCTTGTTCTTCATTATATGCTTCTATATGTTCTCCAGTTTCACAACTATCAAGCGACATAAAATTTCAGAGGACTACGACTTCTATATGAACTTTCCGTAATAATAAAATATTCATTACACATAGAAATTCTGAATCAACTGTAGATGTATACTGCGTTTTGTTTTGATGATATAACTTGATATTGGAGCGATTTGACAAAAATACATTAGATATTTTCTCATGAATATTAAGTCAATGCAAATGTTCTAATTCATATTCCTTCATATGAATACTGATTGATACGATATATACCTAATTCCGGTTCAACTATAAATGGAAAATAAAAAAAAAAGAGCTTCTAACTTATAATAGCATAAAAGCGAAATAACATATTTTTCACCTGATTCAAGAGAATTTATCATTGAAACAGCGAACACCAATTGAAGCAAAGACAAACGGACAGATTAAATTTTTATAAATTATAAATTAATAAACCAAAAGGCATACACATGTCAAAAAAGCAGAAAAGCGAATGATCAAATTTTTAGAAATTATAAATATAAAAATTTATAAGTGAAAAGGCATACCCCTGTAAAAAAAAGTAAAAAAATTAAAGAAGGCGGTCGTTCAGCAATGAAATCGAGTTTCATATGTTCCCATTCGTCAAATTGGACGTCAGGAGTCGATGTGCGTTCAAAGTAGTCAGTTAACTCGCATTCCAGCTGCGCATACCTGACGTAAAACATGATATTATTTGTCTGATATACTGCTGTGGAATGCAGCATTATTATGAAATGGTTTTCTTCCGTTTTCAGCATTGTTTTATTTGAGTTCTATACAAAATTAATGCTCATTCTTTGTACTGTCGAACGGCATAAAAGAGTATGATAAAACATTCCTCTTTCACTGTTTTCTCTACATGACATTGTACACGTGTATATAATTATGAGGATATCAATGACAAAATTACCCTCCTGGGGTACTATGAAAGCATCAATTCAATTTGAATTATATACATTTCGATAGCCATTTTGAAGCTCTATGAAATGATAGTATTCCATTTAGGTTAATTTGTGGGTAAGATACTTCGCTCAGT